TTTGTAATTCCTCTCATTTGTCTACTTACTTATCAGAGATCAATGTCATATTTTGTAATTCTTACTGTATTTCTTAGACCTGAGGCTCACTTTATTTGAATTCTCCTATGATTTGCAGAGGAATTTTTCAAGCACTGAGCGTGATAGGATACAGTGCTACAATTGGGGTAAGTGGATATTATATCAATGTATTTCTACCATTGTGACAAACAGAACACTTCATCAAAACTGAAACTTGAGGGGAAATGTTTCATATTTCCAAAATCGAACCTACTAGTTTCATTATCCTAGCCTGGGACGTGGAAAAAGATGGTTGACTCTGAACATTAAGCGTTACTCTGTCATATTCTTCAGACAAGGGCTAGCTGCAGGGAGTGATATAAGTCCAAAAATTACACCAGTTTGGAACCAACCACTGGTCCCTTTCAACATCCACACCACACATTAATCGAACTGAGCTCACTGTTAAAACTTTTTTCCAGATATTCTACTTCCTTGGTTTCATCTTGTTTGTGCTGGAAGGGCTGCTAAGCATATGGGTCATGCAGGTAGGCTGCAGGCAAACAGCTGCATATATAGATTTCCTGTTGGTTAAAACCAAAAGGTGGCATCCGCGCTGAAAAACTTTTGCTGCTTCTTACTTGCAGAGAGTATACCGGTATTTCCGCGGAAACGGGAAGGAGGCGGAGATGAGGCCTGACGCGGCATCGCGGCGTCCATCGTTCTGAGCTTCGACATCCCTGCTCGCCATGGCTCCGGTCTGGGGAGAGGATCAAGCATGTGGAATCACTATTGTCTTTTGTGTGTGACAGTCCGGGTTATAGTTTTTTTTTTTTTTTTGCGGGATGTCCGGGTTATAGTTGGTCACAGCCGAAGAGTGATTTATTATTTTTGTGAGTAGTATTCCTTTTTATTTATTATTATCTGAAAAAGAAGTCATTAGACGCAAAAATTGGAAGAAGAAAGAATAAATTGCAAAAACCCGCCACAATTGGGGACCCTAATTCAGAAAACCATCACTATTCAATTTTTTTTCAAAAACCCACCACCATTGTACTGACAGTTTGCAAAAAACACTGATGGATCAATTGGAGCTGCTTGATGAAAAACTGACAGCTAGGTCCCTTCATAAATGATGACGTGGCATGAAAACAACTCATCCTGTTTGGCTCAAATATTAGGCTGGAGTAGGGCCCGCCCGTCATTCGCACTCTCGTTCCTCTTCCTCCTCTGGTCGGTCCACTCCAACGCACTCGACACGGACACACCGTCACCCTCGCCGTCGTCGACCCAGCCACGGGTGCTTGCCAGGAGACTCGGGAGAGCGTGAGAAGGGGAAGGCGGAGCTCACCAGGAGCTTGTAGTCGACGCAGGGGTGGCAGGGGAGGGCGAGTCTACGATGGCGGCGCCCGGCGGTTGCTGCCCGAGCAGGGCGATGACAGGAGGTAGGAGGAGGTTGCGGGGCTCGTCATGAAGTTGCCCTATGGCACCGGGGCGTTGATGCGAAGCAGCTGGGGGAGGCGGCGAGGTCTGGCGCTCTACCTCCCGACCAAATCTAGCTCCGCCTCGCCGAGCAGGCAGGGGAGCGGCCGCGCTGTAGCTCGGCCTCGCCGGAGCGGGATGGGGCGCGACGTGCAGGAGATTGTACTCGCCGGAGCGGTCAGGTTCGTAGGCTTGCTGGAGCTCGGCCTCGCCAGCTTAGGCGGCGTCGGCTTCGTGCTGGAATCAGTGCTTCCGAAGCAAACTTTGCACGCACATTTATTTGCTCATTCACGTGTGCTTTCTCGCAGACCAATCCACGGCGTAGTCCAATGGAATCCCCAAGCCGTCGACGGGTGGTGGCGCGCCGGGACGGTGGCTGCCGGAGACGAGGGCGGCCGACGAGATGCACCGGGCTGCCACTCTAGCACGCCCGCTACCTGTTTGGCAAAATGCCAAGGAGGCAGAGCAGGGGGTTTGACCGGTCGCATAACGTCCGTTTGTTTCATCCATTTACCCCTGCCACATGGCACCTGACAGCGGATCCCACCCGTCAGATTTTCACTTAAACTTATTTAACAGAGTGATTAGTGTTTTTTGCAAACTGTAAGTACAATAATGATGGGTTTTTGAAAAAAAAATGAATGATGGCGGTTTTTTGATTTAGGGTCCTCAATTGTGGTGGTTTTTTGCAATTTACTCGAAAAAGAAAAGGTCCAGTATGTGCCTTCTGATGTTGCCAGTTTTCTTTTCTGATGTTGCTAGTTGCGAGCGTGTCATTTCCCGGCAGCTTGTTGCATACCGATCGTTCGTGTAAATGGACGATATACTTACTACTATACACCGTCGCTGTCAAGTTAGCGTGGATAGGGCGGCAAAGAAAGTCGTGCTTACTCCTTAGGAGAGAAGCAAGTAAGAGGCCCGTTCGTTCGACGGCAATAAAAAGTAAACACGGCGGCCGGACAAAATCAACACACGGACTTAGCTAAGATTTCCCATGTTTTTCTTTTTCTTTTTTGAAACAAGAAATTTCTGTGGTTTCATATGTACTCCTTCTGTTCCATAATACAAAAATGTTTTTGACACTAGCGTAACATTAAAAGCGCTCTCATATTATTGGACGAAGTGAGTAGTAGACTACATTATACTGCTCCCCGTTCTAGTTCTAGAAGTGATGATGCATGCAACTTGTGAAGACCAACTGCTCCTTGCGTAGAACAAGCGAGGAGTAGTTGAGGTCCGCCTAATACAGGCCGCTGCCCGTTGGTCTCTCTCCTGGCACCTGCGCTCAGACAGAAGCAGAGGAAAAGCAGGGGAAAGCCAGGAGAGAGAGAGAGAGAGAGAGGAGAAGCGCGCGAGGGGTGATCCATGGCGGGGAGGGCGAGGTACGACAACCCTTTCGAGGAGAGCGGTGGCGACGAGGTCAACCCTTTCGCGGTAAGGTCGCCGGCGAGCTCCAGTCGGCCAGTCCTCCCCACATGTTCCATCTAACTCGGTCATCAATGGCGGGGAGGTTCTCGCTTTAGTTTGCTCCTTTGTTGCTTTTGGTTTACCTCCGGTTTGAACTCCTTTGTAACTTTCATGAGCGATAATTCATCTGGAGCCCGGACTCAGCTGCTCCCGGTCAGCAAAAAATTCAAAAAAAAACTAGAAAAATTCAAAAAAATCCATTTTTTTGGTATGGTAGATAGTTTAATGCGTGAGGTCCGCTCCAAATTTCAACTCATTTGGATATTTGAGTAGGTCTCGACAAAAAAGACAAATTGGGTCAAAACAGTTCATGAACGGTAAACTTTTTTACAGACCCCGGTTTTGTCTTTTTTGCACAGACTTGCTCAAATGTCCAAACGAGTTGAATTTTGCAGCGAACCTCACGCATCTAATTATCTATCACACAAAAAAAATGGAATTTTTTGATTTTTTTATATTTGTTTTGATTTTTTCCGTGAGCGTGAGTGCAGCTGAGCCCGGGTGCAGATTCGCCGCACCCCTTTCATGAGTTGCTTCTTTTTTCCGGATGCACCCTCTGTTCCTCAATACAGCTTCTGTTGTTAGCATGCTGCATGGTTGGTTTACAAGTGCTCCTGCAAAACCACAAAGTACTATCTTTCCGGGTTTTTTTTACCCTGCATATAAGATTTGTCATAAAGTTTGGCAAACTTTATAGAAAAACAAATATAAACGTTCAAAGTATGAAATCAATATTATTAAACGCGTCGTGAAATTGATTTTCATATTGTATAAATTTTGTATTGCATGTATTGATTTTTTTAATGTAAATTGGGTGAAACTTTCCGAAGCTTGATTTTAGACAAATCTTATATGCGCAAAAAAACAGAGGGGGTATATTGGAAAGACAAAATGACGTGTCGCAATTCAAGAAGCAAACATGAACCTATATTTTTTTCGAAAAGAAGGGAGATAACAGATTTTGTACCCTCAACTTATTAAACAGGCCAAAAAGGAAGAAACGAAGTGTTAGTACATAAAGTATCGTATCAGCGTAAAGACTGGGTGTATATACCGATTGTCAATTGCTTGCATTTATCAATCTTGAAGATCCGCAACTCCGATCCGGTCTTCAGTAGGCGATGCGTGAAGGCATGTGTGTGTGTGTGGTTATGTGAGTGCGTACGTGTGTGTGTCTATGTCGTAATTGGCATTATAAACAATAACAAAAGCTTAATCTGCGTAGGTTGTTTGTCTCTTTTCTCGTTTCAGATAATTACAAAATACAAACCCATATTTGAGCAAGTAGGACTTGAAATGAATCAAGATTGCATATATATTTATCTACCCAAGCAAGTTAGGTCTGGTGCCAACTTATATCTAGGTTTTCTTTAATATTTGAATTGACCGAGAGTTTTTAAGTCCCAACCGATTTAAAAAAATGTAACTTTAGTTTAGTGGAAAGTGCAGCTTACACTTTTTCACTTAATTACACTTTTCTAGGAATGTGCAGGTTTTTCTCGATTTATTCAATTGTGACCCAATGAACCATATATATATATATATATATATATATATATATATATATATATATATATATATATATAATCAATTCTTTATTAGGACACACTTCATTTATTTATGTGTACATACATGTGTTTTTTGCGGGGATTGTGCATATATGGTTTAAATACACCTTGTACAAATTAGTTTGTTGATTTTGCCCTTGAAATACATAGGTGCTTCTTGTAAATGCTCAGGAGAATACTTTTTTATCGGAGAAAAAAACTCAAGAAATACCCATTGATAGTTTCTTTTTGTTTTGAGGAACCTCAAGAGATACGTGTGCATTCTCCAATAAAACTTGAATAGAAATAAGAAAAGGTTGGAGAAACTAAATGCTATTGGTTGGTTTGGAGAAAATCAGATTTTAGGACAGAGTAAGCTAGTTTCTTACCAACTCTTCAGTTATTATTTCTTACCGACGACATATTCAATCAATAAATACTACCTTTATCAAAAAAAAAGATAATGACTAATTGATGTTCTGCATGTAACTTTACCAAGTCATCATGCTCCTGTACCAGGACAAGGCTACTAGAGAAGCACCAGCTGCTCAATCCGGTTATTCTGGCGGTTCACTCTATGCAACGGTAAACTTGTAGTGCATAACATGTTCCTAACAAACAATAAGTGCTCTCGTCTGGCTGGTCATATCACATGAAAGTTTCATCCTCTTGATGTAGCAACCACGACCTAGTCCTCCTAGCAGCACCCGCCTTTCACCTCTTCCTCCAGAGCCAGCTGACTTCTACAATGACTTTGCCTCCCCACACACAAACAAGGTAGTCATAGTATTTGATTGAGGTTTAATACTTTGTTTGATGTAACTTCCAAAAATGAATCAATTAAACTCATCTTACTTGCTCGCTGATCATATGAAGGACATCAAGACAATGGAGAAGGAGCTTTTGGCCAAGGAGGTTGAGTTAAGCAGGCGAGAGAAGGTATCTAGATAACTGAAATAGACCACACTGCCTTATTTTATACTCTGTATTTTATGTAACCGGACAGGTGCCCTGCACAATTGTGGTGGAAAGTCATTAGCTGTGTTTACTTTTTGACACACATAGATATGTTGTTGTTGTTGTTGTTGTTGTTGTTGTTAGTACTATTATTTTTATTATTATTATTATTCTAGTTACAGAAACAATATATTCAAGATTGTATCCTCAATGAAGCAAATTTTTGGTTCTTGGTCGGGCTCAGCCCACGAATTGCAATAGTTGCCATTGCACATGGATAGATGGCCTTATTTCTTATTTCTTTTCTTTCGAAAACTTAGACTTTGGTTAGTTTGTTTTCGGTTTTGTTCTTGCACTCTATGCTCATGCTCTATCAAAATAATCACTTGTCCTGTCCGGTTACAAAAAAAGTTTATGTTGTTTATACATAATCTTAGACTAATACGTATATATAATTGAAGATTTGATCTTGGGTCTTGGTAGGTTGTTAGTTCACGATATTAGATCATTCCGTGATATTAAAAATTTAGGTTGCTAGAGCTAGATGCTCAATCATTTATAGACAACATGTCTAGACGCAATTATCTATTTAGGTAAAATTATAAAAATTTGATATCCACATTGTGTTTAGTTATGGTTACGAAGATATAATTGCTTTGGCACTTTAGGACAATTATGACAATCCTATGGTTGTGATCATTTTATATACAATTATAAATGTTTGATAGTTGTGATTTGTTTAAGGTAGTTATGTTGATTTAACTGATAATTAGATATAGTTATTGAAAAAAATAATTGTTATGATCCATAATTATAAAATGATTCACCAAATCAATGGTAAAATGTTTTATCTTTTTTGAAAATTTCTAGTGATCTCTCTATTTTCTTTCGTATTGTGGATATAGTATATAATAGAAATAGACGTGCTGAACCTTGGTTTGTACCATATAGGAACTTAGAAGAAGGGAAGAAGCTGCAGCACGAGGTGGAGCTTCTATTCTTAGTCTACTTTTCTCTCACTTTTGTTCTTTCCAATACCATCCTGTAATTTTGTGTTGCTTTTCTTCTTATTTTTTTAGTGAATTCCCTTCTCTTGTCTTGCAGCTGGCGTTGTCATAGAAGAGAAAAACTGGCCTTCATTTTTTCCCATCATTCATCATGATATCAACAATGAGATACCCGTGCATCTTCAAAGAACACAATATGTTGCCTTTGCATCACTTTTGGGTATGTTTCCTATGACATTTGCTCAAAATTACATTCTTCTAGCTTAATAAAAATAGAGAAAAGGCCAATAGTTTACGTTGCGGCCATCATGCATCAGCAATAATGCGAGATTTTACTGATGGGCAAGGTTAAATATTTGCTTGTCTCATGGTAGGATTGATCATGTGCCTATTTGGAACATCCTCTGTGTTACTGCTGCTTGGATTAAAGGGGAAGGTGCATATTGTGTAGCGTACAAATTTCTTTGTGAAAATCCATAGCATAAAACCAAGGTACTATATGTATCATTAACTGAATTTAATTTGAATAGGTCCCAAGATATGGTTTCTTGCGGTCATCTACTTTATTCTTGGTTGCCCAGGTGCCTACTATCTGTGGTACCGACCACTTTACCGCGCCATGAGGTACATTTGATCTTGTACGTCTATAACTTTAGTATTGATGAAAATTTTAGATTTTTATACATGGCAAATAATAATAGATCATCATTGTGGGTGGTTTTTTTTGTTTACAACTCATATTACAGGAATGATAGTGCTTTGAAATTTGGATGGTTTTTCCTGTTCTATTTGGTAAGTAACCTATGAAGTTGATGTGAAAACTGCAGTTCACTGTACCATATTATGTGGTTGTTTATTTGGGATAATAAGCTGACTATTTGTTCTTGCTGACTCCACAAAACAGGTTCATATTGCTTTCTGTGTGTACGCAACTATTTCTCCTTAAATTTTGTTTGTGGGAAAATCACTAACGTGAGTTTTCAACAAGTACTTTTACTTTGTTGAGACATGTTTCACTATGACATTATGAGAAAAAGGAATTCCACCCCTTGGTCATGCTAATTTCCTGGTTCTTTTGGAAATACCATAATTGTTGTGTTTTCTAGAGAAGGAATCCTCAGGCCAGTCGACTTGTACAAGAGATCACAAAGGAAGTCCCTTAGTGTTTTGCCAGTTTCCTTTGAGTTTGAGTCTATTTGGCTTTGGTCTTTGTTTGTTTGGTTTGTTAGTGCGACTGTCATCTTTTCTGATGTTTTTGAATTTGGCTGGTGTGTGTGCGCGTGCATGCGCTATTGGTATTCTATGTTAGTGTTGGGACCCTTTTTGGGCATGATCTGTTTCTGAATCTTCTTTTCTTCTTAATATAATGACAGGCAACTCTTGTGTCAGCTCGGCAAAAAAAACCATGACACTATGCTTCAGATTTTATTAATTACAATTGTAAAAACAAGCTTCAGTTTTTTTCACAACTTTTTTCTTGAACAAACAAGAACTTCATTCTTCTATATAATCCATTTTTTATGTTATGATGGCACTTCGTAGTTTTGCTTCCAACGCAACTTGAAGCAACTATGTAAGAGAACTGATATATTTTTCCTTTACCTTGTTTATTGTTTATGCAGAGGGATTTTCCCATCGATCAGCTTGATAGGAAAGAGCGTCGTAGTAGGGGTGAGTCAAGTCATCTATTACCTCATGAGTCAACAGTATAAGTTATTTTGTTAGATAATTTGCCAGAATAAAAACAATATACGTAAGTCTTCCATAACCATGTGGCTTGCAGGTGTTCTACTTTCTTGGCTTTGCAATGTTTTGCATCGAGTCATCACTAAGCATGTGGGTCATTCAGGTGATACTTTCTCTTCACTTATCCCAGTACCTTTGCTCGATCCAGTGGATTCTAAAGCGCCTATTAGTGAACTTCTAACTGACCACTAAAATTATCTGCTCCATGCAGCGCGTGTATCACTATTTTCGAGGAAGTGGGAAAGAAGCACAGATGAGGCATCAGGCAGCACGTGCCACAACTAGGGCAGCATTTTGATATTGAAAAGCAATGCATACATTGATATGGTTTTTACTCTCGCAACTTTTAAATTGTAGAGACTTGTAAGTTAACTGGCATGTAGGACTTTGTTTGTCCTATGCAAAAGTTTATGCCCTTGTTTTAGATTTGTCCTTGGTTTTGGACTCTTATCAAGCTATACATAGAAAGTGTGGCATTATTTTTCTGAACAATGACCGGTACAAGAGTGTCCCAACCTGAATATATTACTCAAAAAGTTTAACCAAACTGGGTTTTGGTCAAGATTACATGACTGTGCTAGAGGCATGAGTCTATAGAGCGGAATCTGATACAATGTTGCTGAGAGTTAAGGAGATGTAGTGAGCACCACCATGAACAAAGTCTGTACGAATCCTTGTCAAGACAACACATAAAAAAAGAAAATACTACAACCATGTTCAACGAAAATACTCTTACTCAGTGCATAAAGAAGTCTTGTGGGTGATGTAAATTAATGTTGAAACAAAAAATGAGCACTGCAAGGAATGATTTTAAGTCATGTTCAGCGAGAAATTAATGCTGAACTGAAAGTGAATTTTCTTACAGAAATAATTTGGAAGAAGATTCAAGGGCGCAAGGAGAGGATGTTGTCCCGGGCATGCAAGAAGATACACTAGAAGGAAGGATCTTGCTGAAAAGGGATTAGTTAGGAGAACTGGGGATGCAGAGAAAAAAATCAATATTTGGGATGATCCTTGGTTACTAAGATAAATATACAAATAGATCTCAAACAACAAGCTAGCAGCTGAAACAAATAATTATACAGATTGCACAAATGTATCCAGGCCGACCGTAGCATTCAATGGGCCTAGCATATGTGGTTGTATGATACAAATGATGATTACAAGATACATGTACTCAACCATAAACAACTATTAAATGAGTACAACATGGTGAAGTATCTTGGGGGTGGGGGCAAATGCCCCCTACACCTTTATAGCCTTTTAGTTAGATTTATGCAAGAACCTTCGTATGCAAAAGAGCACAAGGGTCGACAATGTTATCATATGCTTAACTTGTTGGGGAAACACCTTTTGGAAAAGGCCTCTAGTCTAGACACTTAGACACCAGGCATCCAAGCCGGTATAGCAACCGGAACTAAAATCAGAGTACCCATACTATAGTCGTACGTGTGGGCGACGTTGGTACAAGCTCCCATATAGGATAACATTCAACTTTTGGCGTCAATCCTAAACAATCTGTACAATGATGGATGATAATCAGTCAAAATCATGAAAATGATCATAGCATTGCATAACTGATAAGGGCGCCATTAAATCATGATACTTACAAGGAGTAGGCCCCAAAGAGCGGGTATGAGTGCAAGATAACAATTGATAAAATCCATTATGGAAAATTTGCAGAGGCGTGAGATAACCATCAAGGAAGTCGTGATTGATACAAATACCAACAATTTCGTAAGCCTGAACATAAGCGGGTGATCGCGTAAACGATGGCTAACCCAATTCACAAGTTGCAGCGAATATTTGCACAAATGTCAGTACATTCAGAAGAAGATCAGCATAGTAAGAAACCTTATTATCTAGAACACAGTGAGTTTTCGAGATAAAATGTACCTTGAAAAAACCAACGACGACAATTACCACAGCCCACAAAAGCAAGTAGATTTGCAAATTTTTGTTTTCGTCATATGCATAAATGACATATACAAGTGCATATTGATATACAAAGAAGCATAAAGAGAGAAATGCTTCAAGAATTCTAGAACTCGGCATCGACTGACATAGATGTGCATTCTCAACAATCCACCATGATTCCCAACTCTTTTCTGGTTCATCATCCACTTATCCCATTTTGCCCAATCATCAACAATTTTGGCCAACTGAAACCAGAGTGATTAAAAAAACAAAGGTGCAAACATCCAAGTCATCACCATAAACCATGTTGAAGCAACCATCAGATGTACTATACTGACGTCAGCTAATATTTCAAATTCGAATGTACATAAATCTAATTTTATTTTTGTCTAGTCACCAATTTCAATCTCGCCAATCACCTGCTCTTCTTGATATACATATTTTACTCAAATTTATACTTACCATACTAACATGTTAAGGATTATAGTTTTTCTTTACTTATTTGGCATACTTAACAAAATAACAAAGTTAAATATTAATTATATTATTTATTATATATTTGTACTTTGTAACAAAAAAATATTTTTAATTACTTTTTAATACTTGTGTAAATTTATATATTAGATATCTCTAAAGCCTATGCATTAACAAATTTTGTACAAGTGGTTGTACTCTTTGATTAGGAAAGTATATCCTTAGAATATTCTAGAGTGCAAATTTAACCATATGTGAGGGATTGCTTCAGATATTACTCGTTTTGGAACACCCATGTACAAATTTAATCCTATATTGGCTAAAACCATATGGTTTTCTTATAATCACGTGTGAGGTTTTGAAAATGAGATTAATTTTACTAAGTTTCGAGAAACATAAAGGTCAGAACTACCAAATCATCATAATGGTAGTCTAATTCAATATGGCCAAACAACATAAACTAGTTGATCTATTCAGCTTGATATCCCAACCATTTCAGATATGGAAATATTTCCAAATTTCTTGATGAGGAAAGGTAGTACCATGCGCACCTTGGCCATTTGTCCTATCTTAAAAAGCTTGTAATCTCAATGTTATTTTGTAATACATCATTCCGTGAACTAGACATTACATAAGGTAACGAGTCAGATATATATAGCCAGGGGCTTGAATGACATAACTTGCAAGAAATGAAATAATTCCATATTACCAGTTCAACTTAGTTTTGACCTTAGAAAGAAGCACAATATCTGATCTCTTCATTCATTACCTTAGAACCAAGCCGTTCCAAAAAAACCATTCGTCTAACAGGGAAGGAAACAAAGTTTTAGTAATCAAATGAAACCCATGCGGGCATTTGGAATATAAGGAAACTGAAGTTATGGAACATAACTGACCTGCATATATCTTCTACATATAAGGGCATCTCCAACGTTGAACCTCAAATGCCTGCATCCGTTCGGATCAAGCGAACAGATCTG